GGCCTCGTGTTTGATGATGACGGTGGCCAGAACTCCTCTTCACCATCGCCGCCCACCCCCAGGAACGGTGGGCCGACACTCGCCGCCACACGTGGACAGCCGGATGGAGAGGTCTCAGGACGGGAGTCCGCTGCTGCACAACCGGCTGCCGCTGCTGATGGTGGGGCTGCTGACGCAGACGCTGAGGATGACGATTCACCGGTGACGGTGAGGCAACTCAACACCTCGCAAGACACCCAACCACAAGCAGAGGCACAGGGACGACCGTCGCAGGGACCTGCTCACCGGCGGGATGATGACACGTCAGACGAATCGATGACTGTAGGTAGAAGAGAGCTCGAGGCGCTGCAGGCTGAGCTGGCCAGGCTGAGGCGGGAGGCATCCTGCCGTAGCACTCCTGCATCGGTGTACCAGCGCTCTCCTGGAGAGCTCTAGCAATTCCGACGACTTGCCGCTCCAGTCGCCAGACTTTTTTAACCTCAGCTGCTGATTGGCTTACACGGAAGCATGGGCGACCAGCACGTCTCATCTAGAGTCGGTATCTCGAGCACCGATCTCGAACGCGTCGAAGCGGCATTTGGCACATTCGCGCGGATTGTGCGGACCATCCCTTTGTTCGTTGTCCTGCCCAGCGGCGATCTCGTGACGCAGCTGTGCCCCGTTTTGACACTATGTGTTCGCGGATGAGTTTGAAAAGAGGATGCAGGTCCTCACTGGAGAGATGCAAGACGGAGAGACATCTTCATAAGGCTGCCGAATGAGCAAGCGGGGAGGGCCGCGGCGATGGCGAGCCTGAGCGGGTGGAGCAGCTGTGCCCTGTCTTAAACGCTTTGTCTTCCACCGGATCCCATTGGGAAAATGCAAAATGAAGAAACGTGACCGTGAGGATGACGGAAGAGCAAGTCGGCAGCCATTTTCTCCGCTTTTTTCCCACTTGGCCGAGCGCTTTCCCGTATTTCCTGTGATGGCATTACCTGCGATACGTAGATTTTTACATGTCTGCGACATAACGCCTCTATGGCAGGCGGCGAGGTATGTGATGTGAATAAGACTCGTTGGTGCTCAAAGAGACTCGGCCACACAACCGTCCCTTGATTGCAAAGGACTCATAAACATATGCACTGATAAAGTCAGACTAGCAGAGGCGAGTCGACGATGGCGAATCCGGCGGCGACCACGCCCTCGTTACTGCCCTCATCCCAACAACATGGCCCACACACACAGATGCATACATACACATGAGCGGAATCACGCTTGTCCTTTGTGTGTACGTACGCACCTTGCTGCGCAGTAAGTGGCCGAGCGTCGCATTGTACACCTCCTCGCTTCCGTCCCTTCACATACAAACACACAAGCAGATCAGGTTATGCAGAGACGGTCGAAGTGGCCATCTATCTCCACTGTCGGGCATCTTTTATCGGTCCCTCGCTCACATGACTTCAGCCGAGTAGATGCCCAGCTCAGCGAGGGATGACCGAACGAACGCCTTGAGGTCGGCCGTGTCGGTGCGGTCGAAGACGAGGGAGGGCAGCACTGGGGGGGCGGATCTTCTTCATCAGGATGTACTCAGACAGACCCTCACCCTTCGTCAGTGCCCTCACTATTTCTGCATGCAGAGGACAAACACACCAGACGTACGTGTGTGCGACAGCAAGCCATCAGCATGATCGATCGCACATTCGCCCACCTTGTCCGTGCAGGTTATTGCCTCCACCCTCTCTCTGTGGCTTCAGGACCCATTCTTCAGGATGCTGCAAAACACACACACACACACACATGCATTATATCCCTCAGCCACAGCAGCTTTCCTCACCTGGATGGCGTCCTTGACCTCCTTGCCGTCGGGTGCTGTGGACGGGTCCACTTGGGGCGCGAACACCCCACGCACCGGCTGTCGGCTGCACATCGGCACAAATCGCTCCATTGTCGATGAGTCGCACCACAGTGCTTGCACCTGTGTATGTGTACAGCGCACACAGCACAGAACAGAGGACCGTATGCGTGTGTGTCACCTCAGCAATCCATCGACACCCACGCCTGCCCACCATTTTGCATCCGACCAGGTGTGCCAGGCCACTTGGGCACTTGACAGCATGCGACCATTCCAGCAGCTCACGGGCAGCCCAGCATCGATCGTCAGGCAGCTGGGGCGCGTAACCCGAGCGAAAATACACCACAGTGAACTCTACGATCTCGTCAGGCGCTCTTTGCCACACGAGGCGGCCTGGTGTGGCGGCAGGGGTGCTTGTCGAGGGGTCGTCGGGCAGGATGCGGAGAGAGCCGCTCTCAATCGCATCAGCAAGCTCCTGGAAAGTACTGAAACAAAGGCAGAGGAGGAGGACACATACATGAATGGAGTAGCAGGTTGGCATTGGGTGGTGGGATGCGTCTGGGTCTGACCTTCGCCTGCACATAATGCCGTGTTTGTCGTAGAGTGCGAATTCCAGATGCCTCTGGTCGATTTCGTTGCGCTCACTGTCGGGCACCATGTAGAGAATCGCCGCCCGACGACCGGAATCCCCTGGGCAAATCACATCGTGTGTGGGTGTGTGCATCTTGCCGATGCACATGTGGACTCACTCACTCTTTATCGGTCGTCTTCTCAGGTAGGCCGCGTGTGCAGCAGCGAGGGCCTGACCACACACGCAACCACATCCATGCGCGGGCAAATGTCTGTCTGTCTTGTGCATATGTACACACACAGACGCACCGTGGCCATGTTGTCTGCAGGTGCATTTGGTGGGGAGATGTCGTTCACAGCGCTCTGCACCACCTTAGCAGCCGATGCAGTTTCTGCTCCTTGATCCACCTTGGCGTAAAGCTCCTCTGCCAAACGGCGAATGGCAAACCTGATATACATACAACTATAACACAGCACATAGATAGAATGGGCTGACCACGCTGACCAACGCCCATACGTACCTGTTGAGTGCAGCTAATGGGAGCATTGCAGCAGTTGGTGGGAGGAGTGGGAGCGGGACATGTGATGGGATTGGGAGGGTTGGGAGGGATTGAGATGGGAGCGATGGGGGGAGGCGAGATAGTGAGAAGCCTTACAGGCCTCGGCTGATGAAGTCCTCCGCAAAAGCACTGGCCCCAGCAGGTCCCCTCGCAGCTAGGGCTCTCTGAAAGCGGTGGACCACTTGGAGTGTATTGTACTTCCTCAGCTCCATGGACAGAAGCTCGCTCCAATGATGATTACGCTCTCTCAGGAAGATACATCCTCGGATGCTGGGATGGCCGAAGGGCGCGTCTCCTCTTGGCGAGCGTCTTGAGGAAGGCAAGCATCGCGGGCGCCCAGCTGCTGAATGTCTCTGCGGCAAATGGGACAGAACGGAAGCCTCTGGCTTGAAGAGTGGGGCCGCACTTGTCGTCTTGGCTTTCTCGGCAAGGACCTTCCAACCCGAAAGCTGAGCACTGCACCGATTCACGTCTCTGTGAGAGCAGACGGGAGAGGCGTCGGGTCGGCAGGGGTGGGTGATGGTGACATCTAGAAGGGTTCCCTGGCC